GGGGATTGGCTAACTTCACTTAGCATTATCTTCTCTAACGCCATCCATTTACCTGCAAATGCCATGATTTTATTCTATTTTTTTGCTGAGTAATATTCCATTGTGTATATATGCCACATTTTCTTTATCCATTCATCTATTGAAGGGCATCTAGGTTGGTTCCACAGTTTAGCTATTGTGAATTGTGCTGCTATAAACATTGATGTGGCTGTGTCCCTGTAGTGTGCTATTTTTAAGTCCTTTGGGTATAGACCGAGGAGAGGGAGAGCTGGGTCAAATGGTGGTTCCCTTTCTGTAAGAATTCAAGGATTAGCAATAAATAAAATAGAAGGCAATTAAGCAATCATTCAAAGACCTGCTGAGACCTTCCCTCTGACTCCAATAAATAGGAACCACATCATACTGATTCTTAGAGGGCTGACAGAAAGCAAAGAAAGGGAAGAAAAAGAGGAATTCATGCCACTCCGGCAAACTCAAGGGAAGTAAAGCAAGATGCTGGCTGTTCTGTTGCAGCCCAAGCCCATCTTCCCGGCCGCTCAGGGCTGCTTTCACCAGGCTGGCTGTGTGACAAGTGGCTATTCCACTAACCAGAGCTGCCATTTGGGTTCCTTTCTTGGTGACTTTTTCTTTCTTTCTTTCTTTCTTTCTTTCTTTCTTTCTTTCTTTTTTAAACCTCTGTTTTGTTCTCCTCCTTCATACTTTCTTCATACATGTGCTGACTTAATGTATCAGAATTTCTCAAGGCTCTGTTTTGTCTCCTCTGGATGACAGACTCTGGGGTGCCTTCCAAAGTTTCCCAAAGTAGATTTTGTATATATTTTTCTTATATTTATATTTGGCTTATATTTTAATTCAGAACATTCCCAATATGTTCTCTATGTCCAAAAAGGTATAGATATTTTCCTGACATAGGTCAAGTGAGGGACTGACAATTGTAGAGGGTTTTGTGACCTATGAAAGAGATTTGCCCACATAGATTTATTTCATTCCTCAAGTCTCTGTTGTTCCTAACCTTTCAATAGTCCCTACCCAATCCCAGTTTAAAATACTGTAATGATTTTCCATTTCTCTTAGTATAAAAACCAAAGTCTTTATTGTGACATCTAATCTCTTGCTGTATCTCACAACACTCTGACCCTTTGTCCTTTGTGCTCCAGACATACAGACCTCCCATAAGTCAAAAGGATCCCAGAGTTTTTACACATCTTTCTCCCACTGTGCTAAGTGTTCTTTTCTATACCCCATTTTGCCAGTTAATTCCTATTCTTCCTTCAGCTTTTGTCTCTTCCTCAGGGAAACATTTTCAAATCTTCTGACATGATCAAAATTCTTCAAGATAATTCTACACACACCTTCCTTCCTACTTAATCTCATTATAATTCAGTATATAACATTGTTATTATTATTATTATTATTATACAATTTGTTAAATTAGCACTTAAGCCAACTGTAATTTTATTTGTATTTTGTGTCTATTTATATGCCTTCTATCTCCATCAGTAGACTATAAAGGGCAGCAACTATGTCTGCTTTTGCTCATGATTGTATTCCTAGGACTAGCTCAGTTCATGACATACACACTCCACAGAGATTTAATAAATGAATGAGTGAACAAATAATAATCTCTTCGTAAAAAGAAGATAGGATACCCATATTGAGAAATGTGAGAAAAGTCTCAGAGAGTTTAAGGGATTCATTCAAGGAACACAAACTTAGGTATTTGATTCCAAGGTATTTGGTTCTGGATTCCAAGGCCAGGGAATGCATCATTCCAAGGACTAAAAGTATGGGTGGCACATATTAGGTGCCTCATGTAGACTTGTTGACTGAAGAAAGGAAAACAAAAATAAAAGTAGGAAGGAATTATGAACTTTGGTAGAGTTTCAGTGTGAAGAGGAGTCTTTGCTGTGACACTGGGCAGGCCACATGACTTTTGCTCCCCAGGTGAAGGTTGAACTAGATGATCTCAATGCTCTAGAATTCTGATTCTGTGTTTCCAAACTCCTTACACCTTGGGAATCTAACAGCAGACACCTACTTGTGGTGGCTTAGTTACCTAACAGCCCAGATTTCACTTTATGTTTTAGATCATTTTTAATGTATTCAAAGAGTTATTATCACTATGAAACCAGAGGCAATTGCAGGAGCAATTACATCAAGGATAACATATGGCAACTATAGAAACAATGGAAAATTACTGCAGCATGTTAAGCACAGCAGATGGAAAACCTTTACTATAACCTTGACCATTGACCCTGAGACTTCCAGATATGTAATACAGTTATATACAAAAGGGTGAAGAACATCTGGACAAAAAGCTAGCTTTTTAAAATTTTCTTTTCCCATTGTTAAATGATTTAGAAACTAATAAAAGGGAATCATGAATAAAATCAACCATCAGTCCAAGAGGTTAAATAGAAACTATAAGGAAGTTATGGCTTAGAGATAAGGTATCCCCCAAAAGCTCATGTGTGAGACAATGCAAGAAAGCTTACAGGTGAAATGATTGAGTTACAACACCCTTAACTTAATCAGTGCATTAATACTCTGATAGGGATTAACTGGATGATAACTGTAGGCAGTAAGGAGATGAGTCATTGGTGGATATGTCTTTGGGGTATATATTTTGTCTGTGGTAAGGGGATTCTATCTCTCTCTGCTTCTTGCTAAGTCCTGAGATGCTTTGCTCCACCACACATCCTGCCATGATGTTATGCCTCACCTCAGGTCCTGAAGAATGGAGTCAGCCATCTATGGACTGAGACCTCTGAAATCATGAGCCAAATAAACTTTCCTTTCTCTAAAATTGTTCTTGTCAGGTCTTTTGGTCACAGCAGTGAAAAAGCTGACAAAACAAAGCAAAAAACCACCTTCTCCCAACAAACATGGTATACTCAACATAACTTGTCAGAGATTTATGTCCTAATCAAATTCCATACCAACATGAACCACAATCTAGATCTTCCTTCCCTATTCAGTACACTTCCCACCTACTCTCTGACCTAGCATTCACTCTCGCCTCAGAACTCACTGTCTCCATGATGCCTTGAGAAATCCCATGACTCCTTCAAGATCCAGCTCCAATGTCATTTTCTCTTGGAAACCTTTTACAGTGTGTGCCCAAGAACTCATGGCTACATCATCTAAAGTCCCATAGCATTTATTTATGCCTATATAACAGCACTTTTGGCCATCTTATTTATGTTATGATGACTTATCTATTTATCTTGTCACCCACCCCAGACACCCCACTAACCTGTAAGACTCGTGAAGAGAGGAACTGTGTCTTATTCATCATAACATACCCAAAGCAACACAGTTGCATGACTGACATTTAGAAATTCTGAGTTAAATGCTAGGTGGCAATTAATCAGTAGATGAATTTATTGTAATGGAAGAATAAATCTTATCATGTCAGCCCACCTAGCAAAGTTTATCAGGGAGTTTTTAGTAACCTCATTTTATACCCAAAAAAGTAATTCCAATGCTAAAAGTTTCAAGCACTTTTATATGCCAATAATGGAATTATTTAGCAGAGGCAAATTATATTCTACCTTGTCTTTTAGCTAAAAGGATTTTGTTGTCTATGCCATGCACAAAATTAGAATTTTGCATGCATTATCTCATTTAATCCCCAAACCATTCTATATGGTATTATTATTCCCACTTTCAAATAGAATAACTGAAGTCTAAGTAGGTATAATTTTCCCCAGGCAAAGCAGGGCTTGAATGTGAACCCAAGTCAACCTTACCCTGAAACTTCAACTCTTTATCACCATGAAACTACTCCACCTAATTTTAGAGCCAAACTGGGTATGTGATAAACTATGTATCATAGTCTATTTTTCTTCAGTACTGGGTTACTTTTAATTTACTTTAATTTTTAAAATTTGCTTTTAGTTTTACTCACATAGAATCTTTCATTTAGATATTTCATGGTTCTACTTGGCCAACTCTTTGCCATCACTCTAATAATTATCAATGTTTTTTTTTAATTTTTTTTTAATATTTATTTTTTCGTTCTCAGCAGACACAACATCTTTGTTTGCATGTGGTGCTGAGGATCGAACCCGGGCCACACGCATGCCAGGCAAGCACGCTACCGCTTGAGCCACATCCCCAGCCCCACTTATCAATGTTTTAACAAAGCAAAAAACACCTTCCTCCCATAGAATGCTCAAAATTGTATAGGGATAAGAAAACTGGGAGATAGAGTAGTCACATAACTTGTCTAAAGTCACACAGTTAATAAGGATGAGAGTCCAGAGTAAATCCAAGCCATTTGACTTTAGCACCCAAGCACTATTAAACATTTCTCTGAGGGCATTTTTGTATCTTTTGTAAGTCCACAGGTCAAGGTGTCTAGAACAACGTTACCCACCCAGTCAATTCCTGAGTCGGTCCAATTTCAATGACCAAAATCACATAGGAATGTAAATTCCTACTTTTTGAAGAAAACCAAATCCGTTTTCCTATATATTGTCACTGCCATATAACAGTTAAAATATGTGCTGAGTTCTTCCTATTCCTAATTGGCACTGCCTTGCATTAGATTTGATCCTCTTAGGAAAATATAAAAAGTGTTAAACCCGTAGTCACTTGCCTGATTGGTCAGGTTATTTTCTTATTTTATCAAGAAATAACTGTCCACATCATAGAAACTTTCCATCTGATGAAGTAATGAACACCAACATTTACTGAGTATTTATGTCATGTGCCAGAAGCTATGCTGAGCGCCTCACCAGGACTCCTCACTGAGTCATCCTTATATCAGCCCTAATTTACAGGCCACACACTAAGCCCTGAGAGACTGAGAACCTTGCCCAAAGCTCCATGACTGGGCCCCAGTTGTATATGACTCCAAGCCTGAACTCTTAACCCCATATTTTTTTTCAGCATCTATGGGTACTACTCTAGTCTCTTTTTTCTCCCTGTAATTAAGGAAAGATCTCCAGACACATTTAAAAAAAAAGAAGAAGAAGAAAAAGAAAATAGAGTACCTGATAAGGCCCATGTCATCTCCATTCAAATCCACTATTTTCAAGAGTAGCATTTCCTTGTCTGTATTTGAAGAATACCTAGTCAGTGAAATAAAGATACTTAGTTCTATGTTAAAGACTGGCCCTCATGTATGGCAAATAATAAAAGCTGGAAAAAAAATGCCTCAGTGATATTCCTTGAAAAGCAACAGTTCTGTGAACCCCATCCAGTACCTCATTCTTCAGTAAGGAAATGGTTCGTAATCATGATTGACCTTAGGAGGACTAAGTAAACTGACCAGAGTTGAACTATATATTTTTATATAATAGATGTAATATTATATAACATATAGAAAATGATTTTTAGAAAATGATTTGTCTTTGACATTTCTACTTATATCAACTTTTAATGGAATCTCTTGGAATGTGCAGGAGTATACAAAACCAAAATCATTCAATACCTGCAACTTAAGTGTTCCTTTATGTCTTTTCAAGGAAAATCAGATTTTAGTTTCTAAAAATCAATACCTCTGAAAGCCATTGAAAAATATGCAGACAAATATAAAATGTCAAAGTCAAGTTGAAACAGATGTTGTACAATGCCATAGCAGCCAAGTACTTCTCTTCTGTTACAACCTTGTAACCAACTATTTAAAAAAAATCGTCTCCTTTAGATGTTTAATTTAGTTATGTTGGTTTCATTTCTTGCTTTTCCTTCCAGATTCTCTTTTTTATTTTTATGTTTTAATCTTCTCTCCCTTGCCCCACTCTGATGAATTTAGATGATTCCTTCTACATAACACATAATAAAACAGCTATTTTTTAATTTAACAAAAATGTGTTATGCACATTTTAGTCTCCATTTTACAGATGACAAAGCTAAGAGTCAATAAATTAAGTAAATTCTTAAAGGCCACACAATTAGGAAGTGATAAAGCTAAGTTGAATACTTGTGCCTGATTTCACAGCCCAGAGTAGACATCTACCATGGCTCCCTACGCCAACAAAGGACAGAAATATATGAAAAGAAAATATTGGGAGTTCATTATTATATTCACTCTTTGTTTCTGCTTGCCCTAGATGAACATGTTCTAAAATTATTTTAGCTTTCATACTCTCCTAGGATCCTACCATGGCCACCAATAACAACTTTTTGATTTTGTGGCTTTTCTCAAGGGAAATGCAATGATGCTGTTTTGATCATTTCCCTCACCTTGCTCTCTCTGACTGTGGATTCCTAAGGTAAGATGTAGGACTTCGATTGATCTGCACACCCTCGACATCTCCTTTATTGATGAAGATTTTGGCTGGTTTCATATTTTCATGTGCTATCTCGATGCTCTGAAAGTTAAAAGAAGGAAGAAGAGGGAGTTGTAAGCTTCGACATCCTGGTGGAGGTGACGACTTAATCCATGTAAAAGAAGAGCCCTATAAACAATTTCCTTTGTAAGGTGTCCCCACTATAGGTTAAAAGCTGAACAGCCACATGGCTGTTGTCATCTGTAGGTAAACAGATAGGGCCTTCAGGGCTGAGACAGAGGAAGTGCTGTGTGTAGGTAAGAAGAGTGTCCATTAGCTCTTGTGACCTCTGCCCTCAGGACTGCCATTTAAATGGCCAATATAGCAGACTTGACTCCCAAGACACTGGGGCATGATTTGTTAACATACAAGTGTTCCACCCTCTCTGCCCTCTCCATCCCACCACCCTCTAAGGCAGTTTTTCAAACTTGTTTTTCCTTTTTTTTTTTTTTAACTGAAACCACAGTGAGAGATACATTTTTCATCATAACTTATTACAAACCAACATATGCACCCTAAGACAAAAGTACATAAGACAAACTCTATCCTCACTGTGGGTCATCTACTGCGATATTTTCCCATCTATTCTATTGAAGTGCTTCTGCATGTAACACTTATTGCCACCTCCAAAATTTATTTTACAAGCTATGAACACACTGCTAGCCACAGCGTGAAAAACACTGTTGTAAAGAAAATTCTGCCTTTGCCAGATGAAATTTGGGGTGACTTTGTGAGGAAAAGTAGAGACTAAACCTGGAAGGCCTAGGGAGGAAGAACAACATACACAAGATCTCTGTGCACAAACAGTAGCCGGAGCACAGGGGAGGGGGGGGGGGACAAGGCATTTGACCTAGGAATGGTGAGGAGCTTGAGGGTGTTGGTGAGAAGTCCCCAGGGGGGTTGGTTCTGCTGAAGAAGACTTGAGAATGAGGATGTGTTTTTACCAATTGTATCCTCTTCATTCTTTGAGACATATAAAGAAATATTAAGTTATTTGCAATTGTAGTTCTTTGATAAGTTCCTCTTCCAGTGACTCTGTGCAGGGAACAGATCATGTGAGGCCTTATAATTTATAAGAGTCACCAACAAAGTGTTTTCTGTCTTTAGATGGCTTGGGGCTTACTGCCATAGAAGCATCCTGTTCCTATCAATCAGTGCCTCTTGCCTAACAGTCCGTGGCTCAGAACCAGAAGCCAAAGAGAGTCAGGAAGGAGAAAGATAGAAAGGCACTAACACTTTTATGTCAGACCTGGATCCTAGAGGGAGTCTCTGTGTCACGCCAAATCACTCCTAAAACCCAGGTAAGAAGGGTCAGGAACAGCTGCCTTGGGGACTCTTTGCCTACCTTCACAATACCAGTGACCATGTACTCAAAGGTTCGATTGCTAAATCCTTCACTGGCAATGACAAATATAGTGTACTGGAAATATCCTGCTGGACCCGAGTGTGTGTGAGTGCCACTCAGGATAACATTGTCTCTTCTGTACAGGGAGCCGTATTTACTCTGCAGTCTGTTCAGGACCTTTAGGAAAAAAAGAAAAATGAACCAACAAAGGGGATAACATACAAACTCAGCATGAGAAAAGCGTCTCCTGAGTTTAATCACTGATCCATCCCTTTGATACCCCTTTCATGTGGCCCTTCACTCTGTTTACTATTATAGTAACAATAACAAGAACAACAGTAACAGCTATAGCAATAGCTAACATTTTATAGATTGCTATGTGCAAGCACAATCCTAGGTATTATATATATATAATGTCATTTGAAAATATTTAGAACAATCCCAAGAAGTAGGTATTGTGGACCTCTTTTTTTTTTTAACTCAGAACATTGAAGGGTACAGAAGTTAAATAATTCATTGGTAGGACAGTGGTGAGCAGAGGCACCTTCCAGAAATTAATTTTCTGACCCATCTAAAATGTAGCAGAATCAGACTCCAAATCTGAGTCTGACTATTGAGCCAGTATTCTTAAACCATTCATCATTCAACACATAGCATTAACATTCAGGCACCTGCTCTGAGCACATGAAATATGGCAAATTCCTATCTTGAAGATGTTTTTACTCGAATGAAGGAGAAAGATAATAAACAAGAAAATAAATATGTGACAGTATGTCATACAGTGACAAATGTTATAAAAAGAAACATTGATGCATAAGAAAAAAGAAAGTGGCAGGAGTTAGTGAGGAAAGACCTTTCTGAAGAGGGGTGCTCTTTAGCAGAGGCTTACCTGGAGAAAGAAGCTAGCCATGTAGTATCTGGCATGAAGCCTTACAGGCACAGTGAAGAGACTTGGCTAGGCCTCTTAGCTACTTTACTGCATCACTTTGCAAGATGAAGAATTCACTATCTCTGAATTACATCTACTGGTCTAAGGCAAGTCATCCAGTGTGATGTAAGGACACCCCAGTAATCTCATGAAAGGTCCACGTGAAGAAGAACCATCTTACCAGCATGACTTGCTAGAAGAAGATTTCCTCAACCTCAGGCAAGTCTCCAAACAACTGCAGCCCCAGTCAACATCTGTGTGCCACCCCACAACACAGAAAAAATAATGTGTGACTTCTGCTCTAACACAAGTCAGAGGTGCCCGACCCAGCCACTCTGGGATTTCCAACCCACAGAAACCTTCTGTGGTAATACATGACTATTACTGCTTTAAGCCACTATGGTTTGGATGATTTGTTTTTTAGCAATAGACAATTAAGATAAAGATTCTTGGTAAATGTTCACTGAATTAGTCAATTAATATGCAAGTGCATGACTAGTGTCTTTGTATGGTGCACATGCAACAAGAAAACAGAAAATTGATGATGTTGCTGAGTACCTACTTCTGATTGTGCTTTAATCAGCTGCAATCTGAAGTTTGGTGTTATTGTGGCTCCTTTATGAAAAATACGAAAATGATCCAGCAAAAGTGTCAAACCCAAAGCAACCATTAGCAATGTTTACCTTGAATATGGCATAGAGTGTCTGATAAACCATCTCTCTAGGGAAGCGGGGAAGCCCTCATATATGGTTGCTGATTTCTGTGGTGTCAATGCTCCCACCATGGTCAATTTTAAAACTGCCAAAAGTTTAACAACCAAACCACAACATTCCTTAACAATTAACAACAATCTCTCATGAGCTGGTGCAATCCACTTCCAGAACACCACTAGTCCACAGGGAAGTAGCAGCTTATGCACTGCATAGTTAACAGAGATGAAGGCAGCCATGCAACTTCTCCCTCAACTGAAGAGTGATGCTACTCATTCTACCCATGTGGTCATTAAAGCATAAAGAATATCTTGCACACTATCTTGCCTCATTAACCTCTCCATACCCCAAAGAACAATTGTTTGGTTACCATGTCCACATAAGCAACACTGAAGCATGAAGCAGCAATTATGGGAAGGAAATATGAAAGAGCGCAACTAACATCCCTCTAACCAAGCAGCCCTCAGCCTCCATCCCAGTGAGTTTGTATTCCTTCTGTTTCACCCTAAGTCCAACCTCAACTCCTATTGCTTCCACAAATGCTTCTGCACAGTAACTACCACACCATGCAGAAGAAAAAAAAATGTCTGGGAGAAGAGGAAATAATTGATGAAGGGACACCACCAAGCTGAACTAAAGTCAAAGGCTGAAATTCTTGAAATTCTGCACCAAGACAGGAAGGTAATAGAAAAGTAGAACTGCAAGTCAACTTTAAAACTCCCTAACCCCACTCAGTTTATTCCTAAGACTACAACATTGGGATTTTAGAATTAAATGTATTAATTCATTTCTGTTCAAGAATCAAGTACTTAAAAAGATAGTAATAATGAGGTATGGGGATGTGGCTCAGTGGTGGCACACCTGCCTAGCATGTCTGAAGCCCAGGGTTCTATTCCCAGCTTCACACACACACACACACACACACACACACACAATGAATCTTGAACAAAAAAAGCTACAAATAGCACACCCACGACTGCAGGTACCTTTTCCTAAACCATAATCTCTGGTAAGAAGCCAGACCCATAGGACTTTGAGGGAAAATAAAATATATGAAATAATAATAGAATAATCATGCATGCAAATAACCATTATTACAAGCACATTTGCCCTTTCTTGAAAGAAAGGGTATTTTAATATAGAACAATGCAGTTATGTTAATGTATGTAGCTGACTTCTTTGTCTTCCATTCCCATTTCATTTCCTATCCCAGATACTCTTGAGAGAATGATATAGACTATTAGAAAGTCATTCCGTTTTCCTGCCTTGCCTCACTGCTCAGAGATCCTTTCTAATCTTCATTCCATGCTGGAAATGTCATTAGTCTTGAAGCTGAGATGGAGAACCTACCTCAAACCAGGTGTTAAAGATAAGCTTAATGGCACTTATATAGCTACTTTTATTTTTCACACCTTCCTTTGAGTTAATATGGAATAACTAAGTTGGTTTATTTAAAGGCCTTCCCACTGGGTCTCAGATTGCATGGAAAAATAAAAATAGGAAGATATGTTGCATGGTACCCACTATGACATGACCTCATCTATAAACCAACACATTAAGCCCCTCTCCCCTCACCATTCCAGCCCCAAAGTCTACCTTTGACTCTTCTGTTTTCTTTAGTTCCTTAGAAAAGTAGTATAGTATAATAATAACTCTGGCACCAAAATGCCTAAAGTTCAAATCCCAGCTCTGACAGTTCTTCACTGTGTAACTCTGGATAAGTTACTTGATGGTCTACAATTTAGCTTCACAGTCTGTCTAAGGACATAACATCAATACTCTCTCATAGAGTTGCTTAGAGGATTAAACAAGTTTATATATACAAACTTTGTTCCATGTTAAAATGTTTTATATATTGTTCTTCATATATATATATATATATATATATATATATATATATATACACACATATGCATAATGCTCTTCATAAATATATATAATGCTATATATATAATATATATATATCACACACACACATATATGAATTCATATATAAAAATATAAGGCTGGCACTTAGAACAGTACCTGGCTTATTATGTGTTAGTTTTTATGTCTATTCATCCCCAAATCTCATAAGCATTTAATTTCATCCCTTACCCACATGAAATCTCACTGTCACCTCATTGGTTTAGGATCTTTGTGCCAACCTCAAATGACATAGGAGAAATTGTCAGGCAATGTTAAAAACCCTTCTGCCACCTTAATTTCTCTTTCTATCTCTTTCAATCCTCCAACACCTTGTAAAATTCCCCTGTATTAAATGTCCTCTGTTTTAAATACCTAGTATGATACTGTTTTCCTAACTGGACTCTTACAAATAAAATCTCAATATTAAAAATCTGATGGGCTGGGGCTGAGGCTCAGTGGTAGAGTACTTGCCTAGCTGGGCAAGGCCCTGAGTTCAATCTTCAGTACTACATAAAAATAAATAGACAAAAAAAGGTACTGTGTCCATCTACAACTATAAAAAGCACCTTAAAGTCTGCTAATTTATGTCTTTATCTCTAGCTCCACTTTATTCCAATCCATATCAAACATCACTGTCTGATTAATCATCTTAAACCAAAATAGTGTTTATATTACCATTCAAAAGTTTTATAAAATTCCACAACACTCCCAGAATTAAAAAATAAAAACCTTGCATTCCCAGGCCTTCCACATTACAGCCAACACACCATCCAGATACATCTTAAGACCTGACTCCATGTGTCCTAACAGAATTCTTCTGTTCCCTCAGAAGAGAGTCTCTGTCTCTCCCTTTCAAATCTCGTTGTTCATGCTGTCCCTTCCATATGGTATGTCATCTCTCATTGTAAACTTTTAAAATTCTGCACACTCAAATGTCATTTCCACAATGAAAATGTCTTCATAATTACCATTTCCTGAATCCCTTTGTGCTGATCTTAAAATACTATACATATTCTAAAAATTCTTCAGTATTTCCTACAAGAGTTAAAGCTTAATTTTCCCACCTGTAAGTATGAACTAGATTTAGTGACTTGCTTAATAGAATAGGGTGAAAGTAATAGTAACTTATAAGACATGGTTATAAAAGGCACTGTGGATTCCTCCTTGTTCTTTCTCTTGGGATACTCCCTCCAAAGGAATCCATCAGAATATGGAGTGAGTAATTGAGGTTTTCTGCCAACAACCACAGGAGTGAACCATCTTGCAATGAGAATTCAAATCCCAAATTGATCCTTAAATTTAAGGTTCATTCTTTTTTTTTTTTTAGTTGTACACGATACCTTTATTTTGTTTATTTATTTTTACGTAGTGCTGAGGATTGAACCCAGGACCCCGTGCATGCTAGGCATCCTCTACTACTAAGCCACAACTCCAGCCCAAGGCTCATTCTTAAATGTCTTCATTCTTTGCCATCATCTTGATTGCAAGAAAACTGAGGCCAAAACCACAGAGCCAAGCCAGTTCAGAACTCCTAACCAACAGACCAAGTGGAATAATAATGTTTGTTGTTTTAAATCACTGTGCTTTGGGATAAGTTATTACACAGTAATCAATAAATAATATACCAGTATACTTTACTCCAGAGAATAATGTGTGTTACTGAAAATACTCTTCCTTTTATGCCCCAACTAGATGGTGAACACATAAGGGACATGAGTATGACTCACTTAGCTGTGTGTCCCCTGTAGTGGCCAGCAAAGTGCTTACAAAAAGCAGGTGGTCAGCATATTTCACCCTCTAAAATAATAATGTCTTTTAAGAACAAGGGTTCTTGGATGAATAGATGATGGATGAATGGGTGGATGGATCCATCAATCTATCGATGGAATATGGTGGATGGATGGTAGATAAATGGATGGATGATGGATGAATGGGTGGTTGGTGGATAAATGGATGGATGGTGATTGAATAGATAAATGGAGAGGCTGGCAGTTGTTAGGTTGATGAATGGATGATGAATGGGTGGATGTGAATGGGTTGGCACGGTCTATAGGAGCTCTTGGCACTCAGGCAGGTAGCCTCTTACCTGAGAAACTGGGAGAGGGATCTCAGGCAAGAGCTCCTTGCCCCCGTTTCCCTTTTGAGTCACAAGCCAGACCTTTCTTGAAATCAGGAAAGTCAATTCTCCAAGTCCTTCCTCTCTCATAACTTAAATTGAGCTGATTTCTCTTTAGGAAAGGCCCAGGTGATCAGCATCCCTTATCCCTCTTCCCCGCAGAGTTTCCACCTCCCTTCAGGTACAGGAGGCAACTTCTCAGGTGGGTTTGGGAGACATGGGCTCTGGGATTAGGCGCACATGTGTTCAGAACCCAGATCCCACATTTGCTAACTGTCTGAATTTTGTAAAGTTACTTACCTTCTTTGAGACTCAGTTGCCTTATCCATGATATGGGGACAACAGCAAAGCCACCTCTGAGTTCTGTTGTTAAATGTAGGAGGGAGGAAAACACTCAATGCCCCCTCCTGTTTCCAGAGATGGGAGAGGCTCCCACCCTACACCCCAGGGAGGGAGATATTGGAACAGTGCCTTTAGACCATCTCACCACCCCTTGGCTGGCCTCTTCACACAGCCAGAGCAGCACAGGGGAGACTCACAGAACATGGCACTGCATGACCGGCACTTAACAGTCATTGTTCTGGCCAGGGCTCCAGCCTCTCCTCTTTCTCACATTCATGACTATGTGAACAGACCTGAATAGAGCATTCACTCATTGTGACCTGATCTTATGAAAAAACACTTCACTGGGTCAAAAGCTTGAAAGTGTGCTTCAAGAGATAGAACTGGAACTCTAATATCCATCATTTTATTCTGCCCCATTTTTCCTTCCTTCCCTATCTTCCTCTCTCCCTCTCTGCTCCTCCCTCTCCTTTTCTTTCTCTAATCTTTATATGTTTCAGGCAGCCCAGGACACCATGTAACTTTTTGCTAAGCTTAATTATCCCCACAGGCAGGTAACAAGTTCTAAATTGGGGAGGAAAAAGAATCACAGAAAAGTCTGCCATATTCTACAATACAGTTTAAAGATTAATAGAGCTGATGTTATATTCTTTTATAATATTTGTCATATAAATTTTCAAACTCATACAAAAATGACCAGAATAATATAATTAACTCCCTGTGCCTATCACCCAGTTTCTACAGTTACCAACCCATAGCTAACCTCATTTCAATGTTGCCTTTTAATTCTCATTTGACTCCTTGCATGCCTTCTCAATTGTCTGAGAACTTGAGAGATGAGTGATGAATCGATGCTCTCAAACTTCTAACGAGGAATGATTTAGTGAAAGAATATATGTGAAAGTCACCTGGAATATAATAAGCTTTCAAAAAATATTAACATTCTTAATGACAAGACATCTGCAGAACTGAGAGTGAGTTTTGATCAAGATGACTTAGACTCAATAATGGGGCTCATTCTTGTACGATTGTCTGCTGGATGAGAGCTTCTATTGATGGTAGAGGCTCACTGTGAGAAACCAAGAGTGCTTAGGCCATCATGTTTTGTTCACCCAGACTTCCTTTAAATCACATCATTTCATTTGGCCTTCAATTACCTACCTCCAGCCTGAGTCTCTGGGATATCATGCCTATGTCAACGCTGACAAACACTATTCGTCGGTTTGGCCCAGTGGGTTCCGCCATGATGAATGCACGACTATACAGCCTTGTGAGGATGCCTCGAGCGTTCTGGCCAGATTTGCCATAGCCCATCTAAAGAGAAGGGGAGAATGAGAGCCATGCTAGCCCACTCACCTACTAATGGAAAGAAGGCACAAGCATAGGAGAATAAATTCTTTCAGAAAGACAAAAAATAAAAACCACATGAACCCATAGCTCTGAGTGAGATAACTAATGTGTTTTCAAGAATAATTTATGTTAATAATAAAGCCAAATAATAAAAAAAAATGTTAAATAATAAAGCCAAAATCATAATAGTGACTTTAATCTTCTACTCAAATGTAAAGGCAATGTATTAATAAGGCAGAAAACATTCACTGGTGTATGTCAAGGAAAGAGCTAGCATGGCTCAAGAATTCCATTTCTACACTGGAAACCCTTTGATAGCCATTCTGTTCTTGAAAATGAAAGTTTTTCATCTTTCTGCTTAAGGTACTAAAGAAGGAAATATTTTCTGTACCTCTACCCGACATTGTTCAGGAACATCCTGAAGATTGGAGCCTGCCTGTCTCACAATCGTTGTTTGGTGTGTGATTTTTTTTCCTCTGAAGATAATGGTATCTTTATGATTAAGTTATCTTTACTGAGGTACTTCACCCCGGCTTTTACCATGTTATCTCTCCCTAAGCAAAGCCAAGTCAGATCACAGGCATCTATCCCAAGCTCCTTTTGTCACTATTCATAAAACCCACCTATAAAGACTACACCCATACCTTCAGAATGCCCCTTCTACCATTAACTTTATCTCTCATTAGAGTGTTCACTTAGGGTTCCCATTCCAAGTCACTTTTTAGAAGAGACAGCTGGGAATAACTCTTAGAATATAAAAATTACTTGGTAACAGGAAGCAAATCCCATCGGACATTCATGTTCTGGTTTCTTAGGCACAAGCATAGGAGAATAAATTCTTTCAGAAAGACAAAAAATAAAAACCATAAATAGGTACTTCTACCACCATAGCCAAGAATTTGCATGCTATCAGTCAACAGGCCCCTCCTGACCTATAGAAGTATTTTATTTGGCTTACCTGGTGTTAGCTCATACTAAGTTTACAGTTCCAGCTACAGTTGCCTATGTTTTTCGAGTGAGAGATTGAAAGCCTCAAATCTTCAATTCAGAGATATTTTGGCTTCTTTTGACAAAATCATTAAATTAGATAGCTCTGAGCCCACAGTTACCTCGTAGAACTGATAATTGACTTTACAAAGGACTTGTGACTGAACAAAAATTTCCCTCTTCCTTATAGGATCATATTTCCAATGCTAAACAATACCAAAGGGGGTGGGGTCGTGGCTCAGTGGTAGAGTGCTTGCCTTTCACGTGCGCAACCCTGGGTTTGATCCTCAGCACCACATAAAAATAAATAAGTGAAATAAAGGTATAGTGTCCAACTACAACTAAAAATATTTAAAAAAAACAATACCAAAGTCAATAGGAAGATTAGAAGAAGATAACAATGAACGTAGAATGCAAAATAATAAAATTACTTTTTTCACAGCCTCCCTAAAAAGCCCATCATTAACCTACCAAATTGATATCCGCTACTTGTCCTGTGCAGTCAGCTCGCCCAACACCAATATGGTAGCCACTGAAGTTCTGAAATAGAGGTGGCTCTGGGGTGCAAGTAACTGGAGAGGCTTGGGTGGCTATGGTGTCCTGCGTAACTGGAGAGGTTTGGGTGGTAGGAAAACCATGGTTTCCTGAATCTAAAATAGATAAGATATTTGAGAAACAACATTTCATCCACTTTTTTTGTCTGTATCCATTAGAATACATAAGTTCAGGTACCCAAGGAAAAAAAATCTTTATTTTTTTTATATATAAGATACACCATGAGAAATAAAACAGAAGAAATAGATATCATAATTCTAAGCAGCATCTTTTTTGGGGGGTGAGGGGTGGGGGAGGGGTTGGCAATGCTTCAGACTAACAAATAGAGCCTCTGTGAAATGTCATTATGAGCTTTTCCTTGTCACAGTTGTCTGCTGCCCTCACTGTCCCTGCTTTTATGTCCCTGCCAAACAAAACAGGAACCAGGCTCCTCTCATATGATTCGCTAAATCCAACTTCTGGGGATTTTTTTCTTCCATTCTCTCCATTCAGACCTCTCACTCTTTTCCTCTCTGCCAACTGGTCTCTATCACTTGCTTCAGAACAGATCCATTTCCATCACACCTAGATCTAGCTCAGCTCCTCCAAGATGCCACCCAGATATCTCTACCCTGCCCTGGTCCTCCTTGGCCTTTCAAAGCCCAGATCCTGTATGCTTGTTGACATAGTTCCACCTTTTTGTAATTATGTTCACATCTATTTATCCACATGCATTAATATACCATATTAATGCATGCATGCATGTATTTCTAATACACAAACACATATGAATTATCAAAGGAGCCAGAATGACACAGAGATTAGTTAGATCAAAAACTAACTGCCTGGTTTTGAAACCCGACTCTACCTATTACTAATGCAATACCTTGCTTAACTTATTTCACTTCAATTTTCTCAACTACATAATGTAAACAATAATAGTATCCTCTTCCTACGGTTGTTTGGAACAACAACGGTATTATTACATTCTTAAAATTTAGAGCAATGATTGGTAGATAGCTTTGGTCTTCCTTACATATTTAGACATTTTCATATACATTTTCTTTTTTGTTTCAACCCCCAGACAATAGCCAAGGAATAGCCAAGATTGCAAATATTGGTGTCACAAAGTATTAGTGGTCAGAAGGTTCTTGGGCTAGAGATTTATAGCTAACATCTTTTGGGATTCCAGAATTTTTGAACCAAAAACAGTCATAGATCACCAAGTCCAACCTCTTCAGGTTTACAGATAAGAAAACTGAAACTCAGAGCAGTGACTTCACCAAGATTTCACAGTGAACATGCAGTAGATCCCAGGTCCAATTTAGATTCTCAAACTCAGAATCAGATGCTCTTGTGGCCAAATCCTAGGTGGAGTTAGAATCTATGGTTTTAAATAAATCCCAAGGATCCTCTCATTTCTAGCAGAGAAAGACCCCACTCTGGCTACTGCTATAATAGAGGATACCTGTTTTTTTGAATCCACAGGGAACTCAAAGCAACAGAACATGATAGAGAATACTCTAGAAAAGAGAAGAGGCCACGAAAAGGAAAGTGGAAGTGAACCATCCATCTGCTTTTCCATTCTGCCTGGCGACAGACCTCTCTTTACTTTGGTCAAAGCATGGAATTGCTCCTCCCCACACTCTCTATCGCCTAACAGGCATGTTACCAAACATGGAAGCAGAGACTCCACCGAAACCTGGATGGAACACAGTGCTAAGATTGCCTATAAATGTAGCCTATATAGTTTTTTATAGTTTTCAAAAACTCAATTTGTTTCCAATATCAAATACAAAAAAAAAAATCAGAGACACCTTAAAAAAAAATCTCAATTTCCAGCTTTTCTTGAAAACTTGGGAGATCTGAGACCATGCCGTATCATGACAAAGAGCACAACAAGCTATGGATCCCCTTCATCAGAATTGAACCTGCCCCCACTCTGTTCTGTCTCTCCACTCAAACCTGGTGGAAGAATTTGATTGGCCTGTAGGATTTGAATTGGAGGCTCCCTTTCTTAAGGCTTTTCATAGACTGACATTCAGGGGTCTTTTTTTCTTTTTTGTTTTGTTTGTTTTGTCTCCAGGAGAAAACAGACGCTGCCAACAAGGAGACAGAAAGATTAGAAGCTTGGGGTAAAAGCTGACATTACCAGGCTTTGAAGAATCTTGAACTGGGCATAGATTAATGGGAAAGCTAAAGGCAAATATGTGCACGTGTCTCTTAACTGTATCTTTAGGGACAAAGGTAAATTTGATAAAAACTGCTATCAAGGCAGAAAGAATAATTAATGTAAAGGAAAGGACCATCCCATCTCCCTGAAGCACACATTGAACTATCAGCAGATACAGTTTCTCACCTTGGTATCCCCCAATAATTAAGACCGAGGAAGAGCATCTAAGAGGGCCCATGACACTTGCCTTTGTGGTTTTCGATGGTCCCACTGGTAATGAACAAGAGGCTGAGAAGGGCCACTGTGATGGCAGTCATCATTACAAGGAGAAAAATCAGGAATGTCTCCAATGTGGAGAAAGTACGCTTGGCCATTTCTCTTGAGGCAAAGCAGAAATGGGAGAAGAAACATGGAGAGGAATAAAAAGACAGAATCATGGGTGAAAATTCATACGCATTGAGCTTCTCAAGGCTAAAACATCTTAGCTTTCATCTTGACCGTGGCAAGGATGGCAAACAGAACATATTTACCACGGCTTCCATATCCCAGACCACAACAGACAAGACCAATTACAATAGTGTTTTTGAAAAGCTTAGATGTGTTATCCAAATGCTTCACAACACAATCTATTTGCATTCCACTGTTGGTACCTATCTCATAGAATTTCTATAAAAATAAGATCACGCGTACAAAGGATACTTCTTCTGAGTATTTATCTTTAGGTTGATGAAACAGAGACCACCATACTCCTCCCTGTCTTTAAAGGGAGTTTACAGGAAACTAGTGCTAAAGGTCTATTAGAGTGCCAGGTGGGAACTTCAGAACCCATTTTTCTTAACCCATGCTTGAAGAAACCTGAGCAGTGATATGAGACTCCCAGGACTGGTCCTTAAAAGGAGCAATTTGTGGCTAAGATGCTGCCACCCCATGTATTGAGAAATGGCAAGAAATTAATGCATTCAGTGTGGCCCAGACAATGTTTGGTTTCAATTTGAGTGAGATGGCAAGAAAAAAAAATGCATTTATAGTTTATCTGTAAAAATAGAGCTTACATTTATAAATCTGATATTTCACATTTTCTTTTAAAATAGTTCATAAAATACAGCAGTAGCTGGTGTCCCTGCAGCTGGAACATGCACTATCTAGCCTGCTAAACCTGTATAGGATACAGAATAAATGGAAACCATTATGTAATCTGGAACCATTTAAGACGGAATCATGGGCTCAGCTCCTCAAGGTATATTTGCATTCTGAAGGCAGATGAGGCATCTGCCTTAATGTTCAAATTCAGATTTTAATCATCAATGAAAAATAAATAGTGCTCACTCAAATGTTAATTTCCCTAAAGATGGTGGTAAAGTCAGTTAAAGTGGTTTAACAAGAATGTTAATGTGTTGGCAGTGATTCTGGCAGCTAAACAGAGTGGAGAAACACATGAGGTAGACAGGTCATTCAAGTCCAACTAAAAGGCGAAAATTCAAATGCAAAATCAAGTGTCATTGTTGTCTTATATAGAAGGTCAGCAGTGGTAATCAGTTCAACAGAGCAAAAATGGCCAAACAAAACGTGTGTGTGTGTGTATGTGTGTGTGTGTATGTATGTGTGTGTATGTGTGTGTGTGTGTGTGTGTGTGTGTGTGATGTGTTAATGTGTTATATAGCACCTCTGTTTGGTACACAGCTTCTTATCACATGACTACACTTAACATAGACAATCTTTATGTTGTCAGTCATCTTGGCTTATAGAAGGCTCATAGCCTGTGGTTCATTTAAAGTGATTTTTTAAAAAATGGCATACAATAGGGTTAAGATTTTTTTTGTTTTAATTTGCTTTTTTCTTTCTTTTTAAAAATTGTTCTATCATATTAATATCTTGGGAACTTCACTAAGAAAAAAAATCAATTGACCATATACATGGATACCTATTTCTGGACCCACTACCATATACATTTGTCTTTATTGCCTATTCCAGAGCTTTTTAATTGAAGTAGTGGTAAATAAGTTTTGAAATTAGGTAGTGAAATCATCTTTATTCCTTTAAACATTGTTTGGCTGTTCTGTGTCCTGAGAATTTAGAAATAAATTTTTAGAATAAATAATAACTTCTCTTTAAAAAAAAAAAGAAAAGAAAAAAACAAAGCCTTGAACATGAACTAGGCATAATAAATCTTATTCAGATTGAAACCAAAGGTTGTATGGGCCACATTGAATGCATTAATTTCTTGCCATTTCTCAGTGCATGGGGTGGCAGCATCTTAGTCACAAATTGCTCCTTTTGAGGATCAGTCCTGGGAGTCTCATATCACTGCTCAGGTTTCTTCAAGCATGGGTTAAGAAAATGGGTTCTGAAGTTCTCATATGGCTCTCTAACAGGTGTTCAGCACTAGCTTCCTATAAACTTCCTTTAAAGGCAGGCAGGAGTACAGTGTTCTCTGTTTTGAAACCTAATGATAAATGCTACCATTCTGAACACTTACTATACCCCAAGGATCAGAAAAAGTATCCCTGGTACATATGATCTTATTTTTATAGAAATTCTATGAGATAGGTACCAACATTGTCATCATATCCCTATTTGTAGAGTCGGAAACTGAGGCTCAGTATTAGGAGAAGAATTTCCCAAGGTCTCAACCCGAGAAGTGGCAGAAATGAGATTTTTTTTCCAACTCTGCAATCAGGCTTCAGAACCCAGTTTCTAGCCACCATGTTGTATTTCTTCTCATTACATTCTACAGGTTTTTAGGTTCTCCAGTCACTCTGACTGATGATGGATTCTTCTAAACCATCTTAAGGAATCTGTGAAGAAATGCTTTGATAGAACACAGGGTTTGCAAAATGTGTGGGATAGTTCTGATCACTGAAAGGGAAATTTTACTAATGCCTGTCTTGAGACCAGACATGCCAATCCCTTTTCCCTGTTTTCTAGAAGATGACAGTAAGAAGTAACAATTTGGCACAATGGGTTCTCAAAGTTATGAAAATGAGATAAAAACTTTAGGATTTTTTCAACATCTCTAAAACAATTAGACAATTCATGATTCTTTTTTCCCCTCCCTCTCCAGGATGAAAGCAATCATTCTTACCTGATTTTACTACTCAAAAGAGTGTTTGCATCTCAGTAGATCAAATGACCACTCAGAGTCTTGTTCCTCTTCCCCTTGTAGGTTGCTGGGCTTAGACGTCCCAAACACTTTTCGAAACCTGCTGAGGAAAGTTGTTCTTCTGTGAAGAGCAGGAGCGTAAAGCGCTCATTAGCATAACCTTGTGGACTTAGTACAAGGACCAGATTAACATAAATTGATAAAAATAAATGCTCGTAGGCAAATTCTCCTAGGACAGCCTGTTATCGGAGGTAGAGTTTACAGAAGGCCCTGTTGCTAAGGTCATTTTGGCCTTTATACAACTCTTCTAGTGTGACAAGTTCTTCAGTATTCCTGCAACCACAATCCAATCATAAAAAGACGGCACCTGTTCTATTTACCACTGAACAGTCAACCATCAATCAGAAGGAGTGGTTGTGAATATTGGACATTAGCATGAACTATGGGTATATTTACCTATAAATATATGACAATATTTACACCAATTTCAAAAGAGAAAAGTGATCTTAATTTTAGATGCTTCTAAAGAAAATCCAAAGTATTAACTAAGAATACAAATAATAAATAATAGGGTTAGACTAGTATGCAGCTGGTAAAATTATACTCAAAAAGTTTAATGACATAAAATATATAATATTTAGTTAAATTTACAGTATGATCCCATTTTTGTGAATTGTGCTCAGAAAGACCACACATATATAAGAAAGCATAGCAAAATATTATAAAGTAATTATCTGGTGATTATGGTGGCTTTGTTTTCATCTTTTTGCATCTTAGTGTTTTCCACAAAGGAGAATGTGTTCTATAAAGCAACATGAAGTTAAACAATGGCCCACATGAGACGTAGAGAACAAGAAATAGGTAACACCACCATCCCATTTTGTTTGTTTGGGTTTAGTTTGAGGATTTTCCCCCTTAAGTCCACATTGTTCAGGAATTAGCTGGTAGACCACTTAATTCTTTGCAAAGTTAAAAGAAAAATAGCCTGGCCTCCAAAGTTCCAAAGGAAATATTTGAGGTATAAGTGCCTTCAGACAGGTCATTTAGTCATGTACCTGAGATATCTGCTCCTGCAGAAGGGAACAGTCTAAATCATGGTAGTAAACAAGGTTTGTTTGTTCTTTTTATTAGTGCATTTATGCTAGGATTTTTGGTTACAAACAACAGAAAACAAATCAAGCCATCTTAAGGTAAGTGCCGAGAAGGAGAGAGAGAAGGACATTCACTTGAAGGCAGCAAGAAAAGCTGAAGAGTGGACTCAGTAAGGGCAAGAATCAGGCAGCTCTACAGTGGTAGAGAACAGGAGCTCTGTGACCCTCTCTCTGAATCTCCACCACTGAGATGGATGCTTTCCAGCTAGTTGGGTCTTGGTTGCTCCCCTCAGGGTTTATTTCCTGAAAGATAACATCTGACTAGCCTAGCTCAGATCATGTACTGACCCTTTTCTTTTGTGGAGACACTTAAATGAAAATCTTTTTTTTTTTTTGGAGGGGGTGGGGAGGCGACTAGGGATTGAACTCAGGGGCACTGGACCACTGAGCTACATCTCCAGCCCTACCATTTTGTGTTTTATTTAGAGACATACACTGAGTTGTTTAGTGCCTCACTTTTGCTGAGGCTGGCTTTAAACTCAAAATCCTCCTGAGCCACTGGGATTACAGGCGTATGCCATGAGGCCGACCTTAGATGGAAATCTAAACAAGACTATGCTCAAAAAGCGAAAGGTAGTTCTCAAAAACAAAAACAAAAAAATCTCATCGAGGTGGAATGATGTTAGATAAAAATAACAGATAGCCCTGATGACCTGCCATTGGATTTCCTTCTCCTGCCCATCTCCATTGCAGTGGAAGATCTCCAGACTGGCCCCAGGGTCTCTTCCAGGCCCCTTCAGCCCTCCTCCTCTTCATTAAAAGGATCCATGCTGTGGCCCACTCACAGAGTCCTACTTAGTGACCAACAATCAAGTCAGATAAGATCATTTTGACCAGGGTTTGGTAGATGATAATGGCATAACATAAACTTCTCTAGACAACATTTCAAGATCCATACCTGATCAATAAAGGAGTAAGAATCAAGGAGATTCCAACTATAACAGAGAAGGAAGATGCTGGGCCCAGAGAACTCATAGTGACCATCAAAATACCTGGCTCCCATAGCCAGGAACAAGCTCCCACACCCTGGGGTGAGATGAAAATGCAGTCACTGTAAATATTTTAATTTGTGCATATATTTTATTTCTATCTGAGTGACTCTCACATTAACCTTGTTAGCAAA